AACCACTGGACCAGAGCAGGTAGTATGTTCAGAATAAATGAGAAATTGGACTGCACAGCCTTGAGTGCTAAGCTGAAGAATTTGGAGTTTATTCCCTAAGCAGAAGGGAGTTATTCCTTTGAGTTTGGCTCCCCTGAACTGGACTAGCAGATGTCACCCACACACCAGAGCCAGACTGGGAAATTACTCTTTAGGTGTGGGGCACCAGTGGCATCTTACTAGTAGCTCCTAGGAGCAGTTGTCCTCAACAGTATATAAGAGTTTTAGCAGTTGATTGTCTCTAGTGCTGGAGAAGTTTGTACATGTTTGTTGGCTTTAGTTTGTTGATTTTCTGTGTGATCCAACAGCCAGTTAAAAGCATATCTTTAGGATATAGTTGTTTATTAAGGAAGAGTTGTCGCTGGCTTGTTTATTCTGTCTAGACTGTTACCCAGACTTCCTGCTTCTCAATCCTAATATCCAGTGAATTTGAAAGAAAGTTTCTTTCCTTTTGTATGACCCATCTCATCTGCCCTGACAACTTTGTTCTTTTCCAGCACTTTCTTCTACTACTATTTTTTATTGTTAGTCATCAAAGGATACAGCTGATCTACGGAACACTTGTACAGATTCCGGGTATTAATTAAGGTAGGAAGAAATAGTTATATTCATATAAAATGTTAGGAATTTTGTAGCTTAAATTGTCTTCCTGTTGACTTATGATTTTTAGTAGGGTGTAATAACTCTGGGAGTTGGTGATGGACAGGGAGGCCTGGCTTGCTGCGATTCATGGATTCGCAAAGAGTCGGACATGACTGAACTGAACTGAATGTTAATTTTTGATGACTTACTGTAGTGTGTAATACTTTGATTTTAAGTTTTTCTGTCCCTTTCCATAGTGACTCCACCTTCTGTTTCAAGGGATTTTATATAAGCAAATACTTTAGAGCATGAATGGGCATATTTTTTTTTCTGTAAAGGGCTAGGCAGTACGTATTAAAGGCTTATTATAGGCCTATCCCTATCTAGACTACTCAACTCTGCCTTCCTAGCTCCAAAGCAGTCACAGACAATATTTAAATGAATGGTTATGGCTGTGTTTGGATAAAACTTTATTTATAATAACAGCCAGCTGGCCAAGTGCCTGTAGTTTGCCAAACCTGCTTTTTAGAAGCAATTTGCTATTTTGAAGAAAGTCTTTTTAAGAAGTGAGTAATTCTTTTGCAAATGACTAGTTTTCTCTTTAGTTTACAGTGGTTTACTTTTAGATTTTGTATATTTGATGTTTTGAATTTTGCAGTAATTTCAGACTTGCGGAAAAGTTGCAAAAATAGTGCAAAGAATTCCCGTTATACTCTTCACTCACATTCACTGTATGTTAACATTTTACCACATTTTCTGTATTATTTTCTCTCTTTTGCTGTATCTATATATGAATATGATTATGCTTTTGTTTAGTTTTAATATTTTATGTTTGTGATTATTGTGTTAAATATTGAATTTTATTAAAGTAGTGTGTAGTTTGATAGAACGGTGGCCTTTAGACTTAAAAAGAAACACTTCTGTTACTAAAATGCTTTTGAGCACTTGTGCTTCTGTGTGTGTGTGTGTGTGTGTGTGTGATACACATTATGGTTATACATTTAAATCAAATGTTCTTATATTTTCTTCCTGTTCTCCAGTGGATCAAAATAGCACAGCCCGTGGTGAACCTCACTTGAACACCACTGGCATAGAGAATGAACTAGGCAAACTTGTAAAGAAAAGTTTCTTTTCCTCTTTCGTAGCTTCAGAGACTCTTTAAAACATTTCTAACTGGAGTCAACAGGTCAGAATGAAGTGATACCTTCAGACTTCAACCAACTTGTCTGAGCCCTCCTAAATCCTCCCTGATTTCATATTACTGAACTGCTTGATTAACCATTGAGTCAGGTGAGATTTGTAGTGGCCAGAGCAGAAGGCACTCAACTGCCATTCTGTTCCATTCTCTTGCGTCATTTCCCCATTGATGGCTCTTGGCAAGAAGCTAACTGTGGGAGAGAAAGATCTTTCTTTGAGTTTCCTAGGAGTGGTGGTGATATTTACTTGTCTAGTCACTCTAGTTCTTTCTTTATTCAACACCAGTTATAACAGTCTTTTTAATCCTTCAGATAGTGTTTGTGTTGTAACTGTAGAGAGCTTAACGTTTCATCAGTGATACATGTTTGGGGGTGCTCTTCAGAGTAACTGGCTCTCCTGATTTTGTGTGTTAGAGTTAAAATGCCGTGTATGTATGACTTGCCAGTCCACTATATTGCCTGGGAGCAAATGGCGCCAACAGATTCTAGTAAGTAGGCATAGGGGGTATATGTTCTAAAAACCTCATCAGGGACTCCCCAGAGACAAAACTTAACATTTTGGTGTAACTCTGTTTTAAGAAGTCGTCCTAATTAAGATTGGAATTTAGGGTGGGGAGTAGAGTTTGTGGGATTGTAAAATAGAACCAGTAAAATTGAAATGACCTAACCCAAGCTCTTCTGGCTCAAGAATCTTCTTTACAGCATGCTTAAAAACGCATCTAATTTCTCTGAAGGCTGTCACTGCCTTGGCAGAGTAGGGGGTAACATTGGCCTCCTAAATTGGCAGAGTCATTTTAAAGAAGGATATACTCTGGTTTACTCTGGAGGATGCCCCTTGTCAAAGCGCCTCTGCTTATGAAGCAGCCATTTGGAGGGTAACAGGACAGGGCTCAGTGATACTCAAAACTCAGTCCAGAACCCATTGGGATAGAAGAAGCTTCTGGGTGTTCCAAGGCAGTCAGCTGCTCCCAGATCTTGCTTCTGTTCTTCAGCTCCCACCTAATTCCTGTAGCACAAATTTATTAATAGTGAACATGCGTGCATGCTCAGTCACTTCAGTTGTGTCCAACTCTCTGCTACCCTGGGGACTGTAGCCCACCAGGCTCCTCTGTCCATGGGATTCTCCAGGCAAGAACACTGGAGTGGGCTGCTGTGCCCTCCCCTAGGGGATCTTCCCGACCCAGGGATCGAACCCGCGTCTCTTGTGTCTCCAGCATTGGCAGGGGTGTTCTTTACCACTAGCACCACCTTATATGATGGCCTAAATGGATCCTCTTCTCGAAATTCCACTTTTCTTCTTCTTCGAGTCTGTGTAACTCTCACTATCCCCTCCTCTCAGAAACATCCCATATTTCAAGATTCAAAGACATGCTGTTATATTAAGTGCGCCTATGAAAGAAAAAAATCCTGCCAATTAAACTGCGTCATACAATTATAAGATGTATCCCTATTTCAGACATGTTAAAACGTGGGGGGTGGGAAGCGTGTCTTACAATTGATGAAACACAGAATGTCTGCTACTGTAAACAGTGATATCATTGAAGATTCAGGTTTTCAACCACAGAGAAGTGTTGTATTGCTTTCTTCTCTTCCTCATTGGTTTCACTGTGTTCTCTCCCTTCAGGGGTGGGATTGTTTAACTTGTTTTAAGTGTGGGGATGATAAGCCTTGTGTAGATCAAAAACATGATACAACACTTGGCTGTCCTGGGTGGGAAGGGTAGCAAGCCAGGCTGACAGGCCTCTGCTGTTCTCTCTTCCCCAAACTGTTAGGGAAAATGCTCCGGTGAGCCAGTCGCTGGGATAAAGTGACTGCACACGACTCTACCTAAAGCCAGCTGGTTTTAATAACAGTGAATTGAATTAACTCAATTGGAAAAGATTGGTAGCTGCTGTCCTTACCCTGCAGATCTGCTTTAAAGGAGAGTCTGGCAGGGAGCTGGAGACCTGCTCCTGGGAGAGGCAGGCAAGATGCTGCCAGAGGGGAACAGTGTGCATTTATTCCTGAGACCTCTTCCCTGGAAACGTGTTCCGTGGCAGGAGCTTGATTGGCCGCCAAGGCACACTGGAGTTGGGAAGCAGTGTGGCAGACATGGCAAGCTGGGGGACCCCGAGCCATGTTTATCAAATGTGTTTTCACTGGCCCTTCCCATACGAAAAGGAAGAAAAATAAAAATGTTTAAGTAAAACTTAACAGGAGACTTCATGCAAAAGTCCAAATTTCTGGCGTCCCTTTAAAAAATAGAAAGAGCCAGTGATCCTGGATCCACATTCTAGTTTGGACTCAGTGGATTCGTGTGCGTAGTCATTTGAAGCATCCTGGAGTTGACAGGCCTTCCCTAGGGCTCTGGTGCTGTCTCTCATAGTGGTGTGCTGCCGTGCAATGCACTTCACTCCTTGGCCCGTTGATCTCCATGTTGTGTAGTAATGCTTACCTTTCCAGGCTGCGCTGAGGTTAAATGAAGTACATGTGAAGTGCTTAGTATAGCCTGGCACTAAAAAAATGCTCAGTAAATTAACACATATGATCATTGAACTGATGGCTGGGCTAGATTATATAATTGAAGATTTTTTTTTTATCAGTTGTTAAGAAGGAAATGGCAACCCTCTCCATTCTTCTTGCCTGGAGAATTCCATGGACAGAGGAGCCTGGAGTACTTAAGAGTCCATGGGATCAGAATTGGACACAACTTAGTGACTAAACCACCAAGAAAGCCCTGGAGGGTACTCACACAAAGGGTGTGGGCAGAGCAGAATGCCTAGAAGATAATGGGATGTGGATAAGGATAACATGGGGGAACTGAACACCAAAATAAAATGTTGGCACTCCATGTTAATCTGTAGGTATGCCTCTTTTTCCTCTCTCATGTTGATCCCAACCTCCTGTTTGTCTGCTGGAGGTACTGCAAATAAAAATAAGATCGTGTCTCTAAAGCACTTGTTCATTTCTCACAGAAGAGCAGTATTCAGGATCATACAGTGGCCATATCCAGTGTGGGCACTCTGGAGCGCTTCATATCATTACGCCTCTAAGTGCTGGTAGGAAGGATGCGAGCCCAGACAGGAGGTGTCAGCTAGCCGCAAAAGGGGGATGTTATTTATCTCTCTCCCCCATTTTTCCTAATGAATGACCTCTGAGTTGGTAATTGACAGGGATTATTGCCATTTTTTTAATCTCTGCTAGGAGGCTGCTGGAGTCTTCCCTCATTTCATTATCCCGTTATGATGGAGCAGGATCCAGAGAGCACCCAATTTACCCAGACCCAGCGAGGTAAGGCTAAAGTGAGCAATGGCACCAGGTGGGGGGAGGGGCTGCCCTTGGGGGTGCCGAGCTGGTGGACGCCCTGGTCCGTGCCTCTCTGGTCCTGGTGCTCTTTGCCTCTTCAGTTACGGTTCTGAGACAGGTGGTTGAGGTGATGGGGGAGTGTTACAGGTAAGTGAACAGCTCCTCTGGTGGCCGAGGGCTACGACTAAGCCCTGACGTTTGGGGCTCCCTGGCAGAGTCATAGGATATTTCTTTTCTGCCGTCACCGTTCAGATGGACAGCCAAAAGGGAAACGACAGTTTTTATTAATAGGGAAATCACTTAGCAAATTAAAAACAAACCAAAAAAATCCTCATTTGAGAGAGAATTTAGAACATCAGAAGGCAGAAATCAAGGTCATTCAGATGTTGACTCTTTGGAGACTATGTGAAGAAAGAGATGAAAAGGGTAACTGGGTAAAATAAGTTATTAAAGAGTTAATAAAGAGCTTGCCTTACACTAATTAGCAGACATTTGAAAAGATCTTGAAGAGATTAAAAAAAAAAGTTTGATGAGTTTAAGGCCCACCTTTATACTGGTAACTCGGGACCAAGGATGGGGTGTTGAGTTGATGTATAATATTTATTTCTGGTGAGCAGCCTTTGGGGATGTCACAGCTGGACTTAATAATTCTGTTCATGATCCAAAAGGGGGATAACCTGCACATTCTTTAAGCAGCTCCGGAACATACACTGTGAAGCTTTGCCAGAAGAAGAGGGTGGTTTGTAATGGTGGGGTTGAGGTAACAATGTGGGTCAGAAAAGGCTAAGTGAACTTTGCTGTAGATCAAGAATTTCAAGTCAGGATTGGAACCTTTAGACCAAGTTCATTTCAAGGATATTGAATGATTTTGTTGTTACCAGAGTTAGGTCATGATTCTGAGCATCCTTTCTAAGACCCTAATGAAAAGATTCCCCATTATCCTATTACTTCCTTTTCCATACCCCACAAATAGCCGATCTAAGGATCAGGGAACCAGGGATTTATGATTTTAAAACGGGTGGACAACTCTGATGAAGACTGAAACAAGGAAGTTAGTCTGTAGTCATATTTGAAAATAATAAGCCCTCAGTAAGAGAAGGAATTGTTTTGCATAAATCAATTTCTTTGAAACACTCAGAGAACTTCTTGCTGTGAGACAGTTTTGTTTTAGGTTTTTTTAGGACAGTAATGGAAAGCTCAACCCCAGAATTTTTAACCTGACAAAGTTTAACAGTGGTTCATAAAGATCATTACTTGTCCTCTTTTCATGTAATGAACTTGTAGTCTATTCCTACTCAGGTCTTTATCACAGAAACGCCAGGCTTTATGGTGTTTGTATTTTTACACTTTCCCTTTAAACGCATAGTAGGGTTTTTTTTTTTTCCCTAGGGGGGTAGTATTTTTCCTTGAAGAAAACTTGAGTTATTTAAAATATTCACTTGGAACACTTTTAGAGTTTGATAATTATCAAGCTCTCTAGTAGGAGGATGATTGTTACCTCATTACTGACTTTTTAATTTCTTTTTCCTCTTAGACTTACCTGACATAATATGTATAGGTCAAAACCTTTATGAGACATCTCAGCATTCAGATCCTTAACTTCCCTCGGATACCTAAGAAGACAAGACTAGGATATACTTCTACTTAAGAATTGTGCCAAGAATACATTTTTCTTTACCACTGATGCATAGTTTTATAGCTTAGGGAATTCCTGTTCGATGGTGAAATTAAACAATTGAGGTTACCTAGTGCTGAATTTTTACCCCTACATAAAAGGGCAGTCTTTATTTAATTATAGTTAGCATCAACATTATTTCTACCTCTCTCACCTTAATATGATTTTTCCATTAGGGTAGGCTGTCAACTGAGGAACAAGTGTTTTTGTGGTCACCTCTCAGTATCATTTCTAAAGAAAGAATCAATCTTCATTCTCCTCTTAAAACTTTATTTTTTCTTTAAACTTCCATTTTTCATTCCTTTCTAGTCTGATTAACTTGAGAATTTAACCAACAGCAGTTGATTTCTGCTGGAAGATATCTGTGTATTTGGTAGAGACAGTATTGACTTCTGTCTGTTGAAAATTTAGGGTTCTTGATTCATCCTCGCCAAATGCATGGGACCAGGTGCCCAAAGAGACAGTGAATGTCCCACAAGTTGAGATGTTCATTCTTACACTTTGATGATCTTGGCCAAGGCCTTTGTACCTTCCATGCCCACCTAGTGTATAAAGATAATTTGGAATCAGAGGCACCAAAGGCAGCATATTGTTCCATAACACGGATTTCTGAGTTCCAAAGATTGTGTCCTGGCCTCCTTGGAAAGTCTATTGGATGGTTGGTCAAAAGAATGCTACCTGTGATGACAGTCATTTCAGAAGCAGCCTTATTTTGTGTTAACTGCAGGATCTTCTTTGGTCTGAGTGAGTAGATTTACTGAGAATTTGCCCAAGAGTCTTACTTTGTCCAGGAGTAATGAAAGATCAGGCAGCAAGATGTTTTTAAGTACTTTTCCTACCATTTGGATATAAGTATTTCTTTTTCCATTCTCAACAAGTTTTTCCAGAATTCCATTTTAAAAAAAGATGCTTTTTTCCTTTTATATTCAAGCACTGTAGAAGTTAAGGTCCCTGGGAATCCTCATCAGTATTGCTGTGTTTTATTTTTTGTTCTAATTACAGAAATATATATACACAAACATCATACATACCATTCTTTAATTTTCCCCCACTTAAATTTTTATTTTAGAGGGCTTTTGTTGTGCATATGTAGGGATAACTTTTTCTTTTCAACTGTTACATAGTGTTTCTTTGTATAGGTATAATTTATTTAATCTGTTGATGGATATTTGAGGTGTTTCTAGTTTTTCACTAGTGCCAGCAATTTATATATTTATCTTCATATCCTTGTATGTTTCTGTAGGATAAAATCACTAATGGAATTGCTGAATCGAAGTGTATGCCTTGGGCAGGTTTTAAGTCTTGAAATTGCTTAGTATCTACTTAATATATATATAAAGCATTTTTCTGTTATTGGTCTACTCTCACTTTCTCAGTTCATAGCCTCAAGTTATATGTGTTGTGAAAGACAGAGGAAAAACTTGAGAAAGAAGGGACTATGTAAATTGTATAGGACATGGATATTTCATGGAGTGTGAAGATACTGAACCATAGTCAGAATACAGGTCTGTCTAGATTAATTGCTTATGAGAGCAGCCATCGTAAGGGAGAAGAGTGACTGTTGTCTTCTGTGTTGTTCAGTGCCCATGTAGCCTCTGATGCTCTGTTTTAAGTAATAGACAAATCTTTCAGATTTTCTGTTTCTTCGGAGTATATTGTGCTCTGTCTCTATCCTGAATATCTTCTCTGTGTTAAAATACCTGGATAATCTGTAAAGGAGAAATTAGAAATTCAAAGAGATAATCTTAAGGAACTAGGACAGTTCTGGAACTGTAGGTACTTGTTGGAGAAGAAAGGAGTCCTGGTGAAGGTGATGCCTGAAGATGCCTTCTTCAGTCATCCTGGGTTCACCATCTTTCAGCCTATTTTCGCATCTGGAAAGTGAAAGAAGCTGCGGCCCCTTCCATGTCTTATATTTTGAGTATGGACGATTAGGGGAAAGCTGTGAATCTTTATAAAGGGCACCTTCAGAAGTTTAAAAGAGGTCCCTTGAGAAACTAAAAAAGAAAAGTCCAGTGTTAAACTCGTGGGAGGGGGCAGCTGTTGATCAGATGATGACTGATTAAACAGCCTCTTTAACCACCAGTATTTCTATTCCGAGATCAGGCAGTCTGATAAGCACGTTGCGCAGCACAAACCTCCTGGTGAGTTAAATGGCCTTTATTTTTCATGTCTCCAGAGCTCGCCTCGGCAGGGAGATGTGATGGGAGAGCTGGATTTACTGTCTTTCCCAGTATTCCCCACATTAGTGCTAGTTTGTGTTTGTTCCTCTCTGTCTCTCTCAGGTTATCTCCTGCTGCATACTATGCCCAGAGAATGATCCAGTACCTGTCCCGGAGAGACAGTATCCGCCAGCGTTCCATGCGCTACCAACAGAACCGCCTCCGTTCTTCCACCTCCTCCTCTTCCTCAGACAACCAGGGTCCATCTGTGGAGGGAGCCGACTTGGAGTTTGAGGACTTTGAGTAAGTATATGTTCAGCTTGCTTTCTCCCTGCTCCTCCCAAGTCGTGAGTACTTCCAGGTTAGCCACTGTCTGAGCAACAGTGGTTGACATTCTGGCTTCAGACCCCTAAGTTATTACTTACGAGCAGTGGCATGGGGTGAGGGACAGAGGGCTAAAATGCCCAGGGCACGCCCCACCTCTGGCCGACGCACTGCTGATTCCCTGGCGCCTGGGGGAAGAGATGGCCCAGCGGGCCCAGGCCAGGCTGGGAGGAGAGGGCCACTGCCCTTCAGGCGACATTTTTACTTCCCTTTTGGGTGAACATTCACTGTGGAAATGCTTCATGTGGACTGTCTTCACACCATCCAGGAGGCAGGAGGGTTGGTGTTTTTTTCTCTTAAGAAAAAGTGAATATAGAGATTAAAAATAAAAGACTTGAATTTCCCTAGGAGACAGAATTCTCTTACAGCCTCGATCACACTGCTTCTCTAAGATCCTGGTCCCTTGTCTCTCAGCGTCCTCAGTCTCCCCCCACCCCAGTCAGGATCCTTGGAGATGGCCTGTCAGATTACTATGGGGGTTGAGAGGTGTTTCCTCCGTCTTCTAGCCTCTTCTAGTGGTCAGCTGGATTACAGGGTTGGACTGAAGGAGCAGCGTCAGCCCCGGGCCGTGGGGTCAAGCTCCTCAGTGTGGCTGCCGGGTTTTACAACCTCTCGGCTGCCACGCCTGACCTTTCTAGCCACCTCTTGTGTTTCTTTCCGGCCTGAAACTGAGTTTTCTTGGCTTGTATCAAATTGGACACTTGGCTCTTGCTTTGATTCCTACATTTTGATTTTCTCAAAACATGCAAAATACGAAAGAGAGAAGGATGGTTGAGCATTTCCCACCCCCCCTGTCTCTTTTGCTGCCAGTACTGGAGTAGGACAACCTGTCAGTCATCTTCCTTTTTCTTCCCGTTCATCTTGACATGGCCTGGTCAAGTCTGAGATCTTAAGAGTTCCTGCTTCCCTTCCGCCTTCTTTCGTGAGCTGAATGGATAGTTCCCCAGGAGCCATCTTGCAGTGGAGCTTTAAGGCGTTTGAGAAGTATCTTTGCTTCTGAGGACCAAAAAGATGGGGACACCCATTGTAGCCATTTGCCCTCCTGATTCAATCCTTAATACGCAAACAACTGTGTACTTAGAGGCAGAAGAAACACTCAGTGGGAGGTTCATTTGTCTGAGGAAGATGGAAATGTGCAGGAAATGCAAGGAAGCCCTGAAACAGCTGTGCTGTGGCAAATGGAGGAGGGCTGGTGGGGGAGAAGGGCCCCGCTGCTCTGGGACTCCCGGCGTGTCCTCCTGCCTTCAGTCCCTGCTGGGGGAGGGTGGCTGTGGGCCTGGCAGTGAAGGGAGAGTCTCCAGTCCGGCTTTAGCCAGGCAGACCCCCGTAGGGAGATCTGGTCCCTTGCTGAAATGATTGTTTTTACAGCCCCTGGGGCTATTCCGCAACGCAGTCTCAGTGTACAGTGCCAAAGCTGCCGGGACTCAGGGCTGCTGGGAAGCCTCAGTGATCCCGCGGAGCCCTGGAGTCAGTGCCGACTGCAGAGCCCCTCTGCACGCGCGTGTGGAAGGCTGCTCTCCCTTCCCCGTGGTGAAACGTGGGGCTCGTGCCTCTGAGCTGTATCTTGCCTCGTGACTTGTCCTTCACAATGGAGTTCTGGGTTAGTTTAAAATGTTCTGTTCTCATCTTACCTTCTCTTTCTTCTGTTCCCACCTCCTCCCTTTCCCCTTCCTTCCCCCTCCATTTTCCTGTGTCAGACTGCCTCCTCTCTGTGCTCCCCGCGGCCCACCTGTGCTCGCCGCCCCCTGGCTTCAGCGCGACCTGAATTTACATCGCCTTCTTCACCTTTCATGCACTGACTTAGCCGTTGTTTTTTCCCTCGGGGTCTCTCCCCTGCCCTCCTCCCCCTGCTGTACACCGAGGTCTGCGTGTGGTTGCCCCTCTGTTAGTTTCGAGGGGCTCTGAGAGGAGACAAAGGGAGAAATTTAGGGACTGTACCAGCTCCTTTTAATTTCTTTCCCCAATCCTTTTCCTCAACCAGAAGGGAAGTTATGGGCTGTGCACTTGTAATTTATAGTTCCTTCAAGTACAGAGATGCAGGTAAGTTAGATGTGGCCTGGGATCCTCCTGACACTTAGAGTACCGTTAAGAGACCCTGCTCTGCTGGGCTTCCTCGCCTTCCCAGCACAGTGCATTCCTGCCTCTGCCCCTCCAGCATGGCCTCTGCTCTCTCCTTCCGTTTGCGGAGTCGGAGATCATTTTGCCTTTCTCCAGCTTGTCCCATCCAGGTGTATAGTGGCCTCAGAAAACAAAGGGAGCCATTACCCACATCCCTTCTGTTTTGGTTCTCTTTAATCTTCCATCGAATGAAAGGGATCAGCTACCATATTTTTCATGTACACTAATTAATAACAGACACAACATTGTATATTTAAAAATCTAGTTTACTCATTATAATAACCCTTTGAGATAGTTGTTCCTTTCAGTGTGGTTTTTTAATTTTTTTTAATTTTTTAAAATTTTTTGATAGTGGAGTGCAGTTTATTACACCGGCGGGCCCAAGGCAGAGTCTCCTCTTAGCCAAGGGCCCAGTGTAGTTTTTTTAAAGTAAGGATACTGAAGCTTGACCAAAATCAGGCATATCTAAGATTAGAGATCAGGAGCAAACATATCTAGTGTCTGACTTTATTGTCCTGCAGATTTAAAATGCTTTAAGAATGATGTACAACCATATTTGAGTCCTAGCTCCATGAGCTTGCTGGGGGAACAAGACTGTAGATTTAGCGCTCGTGGGGATAACTTTGAAGGTTGGTCATCAGGTTAAGTTTTCCATTCTTTGTTGTCTGGATTGATGAGCGTCTTCCCAGGCGGGCACCTTCTCCTACCATTCGTCTCTGTCTGCGGCAAGGATGGAGACTGCAGGGGCCCCGTGTCTGTCAGAACGCACGAGCTCGACGCCCGGAAGCCTGCTGTCAGGAGGTCTGTCCTGACGCCCTCAGCATCCGTCTCTGCACAAAGGTGCTCACTAGCAGGGCAAGATGCGGCTGCCCCTGACCCCGCTGTCCTCCTGCTTCTGAGTGCAGACCACCCACTAGAATGTAGATGGCATAGAAGCCGAGGGAAAACTCGCATTGCTATTTTCACCATCCCTTTGGAAAAAGACGAGAGAGGCTTTTATGAAGTCCAGGTTGAGTGCTGTGTTCCCGTAGTTCCTAAGTCCTGCAGAAGAGGTAGTGTCTGTGACTTTATGACTATCATTTTTAACTATCCTCACCCCCCTTTCCTCATTTTATCTGTTATTCTAAACATAATTACAATCCCAGAATCATCTTCTGATCATCTTGCCTCTCTTTGTAACTACTTTGCCTTCCAAGGCAAAGATACCCTGTGCTAATGACAGTCAGAACTGGAGAAGCTTCAGGTTAGATCAGTCACAAATATCTCCCAACACTGGGAAATTATATTCAACTTCTTAAAAATTGCTGCCAGCAAGAGAGAAATAGTCCTTCATTCACAGTTGTGACACTGGGCTATACTTTGGGCAAACACCTCAGTGAGAAATCCTAGTCTTTCAGCCTTAAGATGAAGTCTCTTTAAGTCTGTTGCGTGTATTTTATTAACTCTTCCAATATATCTGGTTGTATTTGGTCTCCTTTTACCTAGAAATCCATGTTGTGAGCAAACACGCCAGTCCGTTTCATTGTGAAATGATTGACAGTCGTTTCTGAGAGCCCAGGATGGGTGCTGGATCCTCAGTTTGGCGTGATGTGTTTGTCGCCGTACCACGTGCGTTCGTGCAGAGGAGCCTCAACCAGCGGGCTTTCGTGTTCCCCTTGCCAGACATGGGGAATTCTAGCAAGGAGGTCATCGAAAGGCCTTCTTGGTATATAATATAGCTGAGGAGGGTTCTGAAGGCTGTCACTCAGCTCTGCCGTCTGATTGGGTGTGGCGTAGGAGAAGTTACTTGCCGGAATTTAATCTTCTTCATCTGCCCTTTTGCCGTGACTAAAATTTAATTAAGTCACACCAGGAAAATATGTTAGAAAACCAGTAGTGTTGCTCTCATCATCCGTCTGTGGGTGAAGTCCTGACAGCTTTGTATGGCCCACGTGCTTGGGTCAGGTCCTCAGGGCTAGGCGTTCCAGTCGAGTGAGGCCACGCGTCCTCAGCAGTGGCTCTGCCCCTGTGTGCCCAGGCTCCAGGACCCCCGTGGGAGGCGGCGGCTGCTGACAGCAGATGCGTTACTTGTGGCCGAGAAAGCAGAGGGTAGGCCTTCAGCGGGAAAGGTTGTCTCTTCGTCTTGAAATGAGGCTGCCTTTCCTCTCCCTTTGACTTACAGACTGTAAACGCTTTGGCGTCAGAAGTGCAGGAGAAGCTGTGAGGGTGTAGAGTGCCCATTCTCTGTGCTGACTGGGACCTGCCAGGGCAGTCACGTCAGGCACCCTCGTGCACTTACCCAGAGGTGGTGTTCGTGGAAGCAGTCCTTAAACTGAGATGAGATAGGAAACTTTGCTTCCTTTTTTACCAGAGTGTTAAATACTTTCACATAATTGATTTTTGTGATGGTTGCTTGTTTTTACAGTGTGGGTTTATAAAAGAGAAAGTATATGTCTTAAAATAGGACTTTCCCTTCAGATATGCTTAGAAGAAAGGCAAATAAATGCATAGTCATACAAACATGAAACATTCTGGAGTCTGTCAGGAGTTCCCTTGTTGCCAAGGATGGTCAGGTTGTCAAGTCCAAGATACGGCAGGAGATGAGCCCGGGAGTTAGAGTGGCACCAGATCTTGGGAAGTCTCGGGTGCCTCGCAAAGGAGGTGACCTTCACCCTGCAGGTGAGAGGGAGCCACTGCAGACTTCTAAGCCGTAGAATAACATGATCAGATCTTTACATAGTGTCTTGTAACAGACTGTAATAAGGTACCCCTGAAGTACAGGACAGCATTGTGTGAAGGGGGCGAGTACTTGGGAAGGCAGC